TAAACGGCGTCAGAGTCAAAATCGACAAAAGTTGAAGGAGAGGGTTGTATTGGGAAATTGTACAAGTACAAGGGGGTAAATCGATGAAATTGAGTGTACAAGCTAAGGGGGTAAAGTGATTCTCGGGCAGAGTACGAGGGGTAAAGTGGAATTTACCCTAAAATTTAACAATATAAACTTCTTTTTGTAGTGTTTTTTGAACCTAATTTTTTTTTCGGGACGCTGCCCCCAACCCCGAAATTTTAATCCGCCCCCCTCCCCTAACTTTTTATCCTGGATCCGCCCTTGGTCGAGCTCACGAGTCAGCTCGACTCGTTTACCACCCCTAATCGTAACACAAAAGAGAAATGCATGGAGACAATTCAGAGCAAAAAAATTAATTATCGCGCATGCGTCATTTAAATCGGATCTGATATTGAAATTTTGGAATACTGAAAATGATTTTTAAAAATTAAATCGGATTTGATATTGAAATTTCATGATATGTGTAATTATGATTCCAATCCCAAAAAAATAAAAAAAATAAAAAACACCGAAAATCGCAAAATTAAAAATTGGAATAATACGTGATGGTTTAAAATTTTAGTATATTTTGGATCGAAATTTGCGAAATCTGAAAATTTTATTTAAATTTGATCAATAGAGTCTAGACACAATGAATGAGGCGTACAATGATATAAATTTAGGTCAGAGAAATCAATCATGAAACAACGCTACACAATTATGTCTGTTACACCATTTATATATATATATATATATATATATATATATATATATATATATATATATATATATATATATATGTTTCTTGATAAAGTTCAAGTATATAATAAATTCGTAGCACATTGATATTGTTCTTCACGTGAATCTGCCTGCTACTGCTGTAAATTTCAATACCTCAATATATTTACCACGGTCGTCACTCAAATTATAAACCTATTATTTTGAATCTGCTACGCTTTATTTGATTTTTATAGGCGAAAGGCTGATTTTTTAATTCTTACTTTTTTATTTAATTTTATTATATTACTATAATTTATAAGGAACCTTTAGGAAATTCTCATTTTATATGAATTTATCTCTTCCCGACCGTACAACGTTGTACGTTTGCAATGAACAAAGTTCCACAAACTTGGTTAATAGATCTCATGCGTGTTTAAGTAGTTTCCAGTTTCCACTGTTTTTTGTCTGTTTCAACTTTCAATGAATAAAGTACGTGTAAAGTACTACAACTACACTCAACAAAGCATGCATGAATAATCAATGGGGATTGGGGAAGCTAGTAGTGTAGGGGTAGGGGGCCATGGCCCCCTTCAAATTTTAATTTTCTTTTACTGATATATACATATATTATGTTAGGGCAACTCGCCGGCCCTGAGTTATGGTTAAATTACGAAAACCCCTCATGTTTGGGTAATAACAGCTACCCCTCAACTATGTATTATCTTACGAAAATACCCATGCAGAGGTAAATTTAGGGATCGGATGTTAAATCGATAAAACTGAACCGAAATTTCGGTACGCCAACATTTCATACCCTTTACCGAATTGAATATATGATTTGGTTAGGTAAATAACCGAATTACATAAATTTTATGTAAAAAATTGAAGAGGAGGGGGTGGCTGTAATTACCCAAACAATAGGGTTTTTTCGTAATTTAACCATACCTCAACGGTTGGCCGTAATTTGCCCGTTATGTTAATGTATATATAATTTATTATTGTGGTATTGTGCTTATATAATTTTTAACAATTTAATTTTACGTACAAAATAAATTAAATATTTTTAATTGAAAAAACAAAGAAAAATAATAAATGTGTCTAACAAGTTTGATAAGGAAGTTACGGACTGCAGCTTGCAACTAGGGGCAAGTCCACCATTGGTAATAGTCGATTCCAGGTCAGTCTCACTTCAAAAAGAAATTCATTCATTTAGCCCATTCAATTTTTATATCAGTCCACAAAAAAATTAAATTAATTCAAAAAAATCCTAAAAGTTCTTTTTCT